GCAGCCTGTCCCATGCACATCCTGAGGCACATGCCCCCCCACCCATGCCCTCCCAGAATGAGTGCAGTGGCATGAGCTACTCCCCCTCCCCACACCCCCTAGACTAGTCGTGGCTCCATCCCACACCTGCCCCACCTTGGCAGGGCAGCACCTACCCAGTCACACTCCCTCCGTCACCATGGGGGGTGTTGACCTGCCCTCCCCTTTCCTCTTTCACCACAACAGTCCTACCGGCTGCATGCAGCTCTCCAAGCTGCTGGGCTGTGGTCCTTGCTGCCTGCATGCTACACTAGCTACATGCATGCACGGGGATTTCTCAGCCAAATTATCAGCCACATCAGGCCAATTTCCAATATAGTCAATTTTCTTAACATCAGTGCTGATCCGATATTGGACCAATGCACTGGTGCACCTTTAGTAATATACAATTTTCTCTTTCCATAACACTCCCAAATGCAATTTTATTCTTTTATGGCAACCCAATTAATCCCTCCCTTTACACTTAAAACTGACAGCCAATGTAAATGGCCAGAAGTTCTATGCAATTTTAGCCATAATTTGATGGTCTGCTTGAACTCTGATTACCTGAGTAAAGCCCCAATAAACCAACTTTGTGCAGGGGCCTTGCATAGAGCTGGTAGGGGAATCCTGCCTTCTAAGTCAGTAGCCAGTAGGGGTGTGCGAAGCTTCAGTTGCTGACTTGAATCGGAGGAGATTCGGCCAAATTCGGTAGCATAGATGAGTAGCATAAGCTTTTGTGAGCCCTAGCTCACTTCATCAGATGAATTGAGTCATTTAACAGCAAATGATTATTGGAGCTTGGGTACTGTACACAGATAACTGGCCCTGGAACATGGAGTATCCCTGAAACTGTCTCCCCTACAGCTCTCAGGTATGTCATGATTTTGGTTTGCAGCTAAAAGAGTTAGACAGGTTGGTTACTCCTGACAGACAGGCTCTTCCTTCCAGAAGGTTTACAGGACAGGAAGCAGGAGGACAACTTACATCATTTTCTAAGAAGTTGAACATGCTTCTTTCTGCCAGCTCTTTTGACTCCTCAAATTTTTCTACCGCTTGTTTAACTTCTTCATCTGGTATCTTCCCTAGGCGCTTCTTTTTATAATCATAATCCAAACGCCGGCCTTCTAGTTTCTTCAGGTGATGCTAAACATTGCAGAACATTTCCCATTAGGTCCAACGGAGGCAAACCCAAACAGACATGTTATGATTTTGTAAATAGTTCTTGATTATGGATACAATTACATTAATTTATATAGAATCACTGAAATGTAGAGCTGAAAGGGATTTCCAAGAGATTATCTAGTCCATCCCCTGATCCAAGGCAACATCAAATATACCTTGGCCTTCTATACAGTATAAATACTTCTCTGAAAACTAAAACTACACAGACACCAAGAAAGCAGCATCTGTTAACGTTTCAAGAATTGTTTACCTTAATTTGTTGTTCAATACATCCATCTCATGGACTTTACTAAATGTGCAACAGCTTCACTGTGTCTAAATTAGAAGCAGGAAATAGCCTGTGTGCGCTGTTTTCCCATTTACATTTTGGCTATAATTCAGTTTCAAATGTTAAATTATTTGCAGTACAACAACTGCAACTTAAAGGGTCTTTCCCCCTCTCATTCCATGAGTGCATCTCCAACTAACCCTCTCATTCATGAATTTTTCAAAAGGCATTAATTGAACATTACTGTATGATACCTTACATTCCTATAAGGTACCTCAGAACAAGTTTTCCTGATGCAAAAAAATCCTGGGTTTGAGAGACTCAATATAGAGTGAAAGTGGTGATGCAGGATGCTCTTTAAAACACAAATTAAATGCTTATTGTTTTCCCCTTTCAAAACAATGGCTGAGAATAGAATCATCCATCATATGAGACATGCAGCCATTGGGACATTACTGCCTCTGCCATTTTATTTGTGGACAATTTTCTAAATCCATTTGTGTATAAACAAATAACTTTATATTGTGTGTTCCATCAGGATTTTAGCTTGCTTGTTACCCAAACTTACAGGAATCTGAAGGTTCAGATTTAACCTATGCCTGGTTTTCTTCTCATTTGTTACATCATAAACAAAACTGTTGAAAAAATACTGCTAAAGACTAAAAATTCACTCCTTAGTATCCTGGTTTTTGGTACAGTGCTTCATGATATTCAATGTTCATATTCCTTGACACAGATAAGATCACTCTGTGGTTGTCCTAAATAGCCTATAAAAGTAACCTTATTCAACCCTGTTTTAGAGCTAACTCCACAGTGAAGGAGCTAGAGGAAACTTAGAATGTGACAGGCAACTCAAAACAAATAATAATGAAATCACACCCCTCACCCAGGCTCAGAACAATTAATGAACCAGATTAAAATAAGCAGAAAAAATACACTCTCTCTTTATTGTCCATACTGTACTGAACTTTATTGTGGTAGGTACATGGAGTAAAGCAGATGACAGGAATGTACCCTAACATTCATTTTTAGTTGATTCCATGTTTTCCCAGTGAAAGCAATGATGCTTAACGTATGATAGTCTAATACAGGTAATTTTTCTTTAAAAACAAACAAAACAAAACAAAACACCTAGATTTCTGATTACTTTTTTTACTCATTTCTTTCAGTGGGGAAAAAACAGGTTTCTATCTTCAAAAACTCACCCCAATCTCTTTTAAGTCTTTGTCCTGTAATAATTGCAGAGGATCAATGAAGTTTTGTTTGACATTGATATCAAGAGAGTCCTTCACCTCTGCCATCTGCTTCATGCTTTCACCAACATCCATCAGTGCAAGGCCTACAGTGAAGAAAATGCTACTTGTATACCAAGATTACCATTACATGTAAAATTACAAAAGACATGGTATTCAACAATGCATAAAAGTGTTTGTAGTACATTCTTTAAGAAGTAGTGCCACCCTGCCTCCTGTCACTTGTGCCCCCTTTAACTCAGTGCCCAAGGTTCACATCCCAAGCACACCAGCTGCCCGTTCTCCTCATGGCACATGGGGCAAGGGTTGGCCACTAGAACTAGAACTAAAAGAAGTTTGTCTTAACCAATATTTTCATTTTCCATCTTTTTCTGGTATCCATCCATGCAAATTACTGTCTTCCTGCATTACAGTCTCCATTCTTGAATGATTTGAATCGTATACACAGCTTCTTCTGTGGGTCCTTCTCCAGTTAAGTAGAGCCCCAGGGGGGAAAAAAAGTCACATGACCAAAAGATTCAGTATGTCACTTTCACAGCATTTGTAATACCTACAAGGCTTGAGAACAAGAGCTCTCAAACAACAGACGTGCAAACAAAACAGTGCAAAGACAGTAAGTGATCATTTTAAGAACAAGAAACCAAAATGGCCAATTCACATATTTGTGCTGATACTATTAGATGACAAAAATGTGAATACATCATGAACTTATACTTTTGCGAGTCTCTAATTCATCCCATTTTTAATGTATTGGTTCTCTGGCCAAAATTGTTGCTAGTATTTGTAACCAGAGGTAATAATAAAAATGCAAGCATTCTTATTAGTGTTCCTGGTTATTTCTTAAGTCCGTAGAACATGATCAAGTGTGTGCACATAGCACATTTTGTTTGAAATTTCATCTCTACACTGGTTCCAATCTGTAACCCTATTATTCCGGCAAAAGTATACAGAGCTCATGTCTTGTGTTGCTCCATCTCATTCATAGCTAGGAGAATAAATAAGCCTTAAGAGAATAACAGTGTCCTCAACAACATGTTTCTCAGCCTGGAAATCAAAATCAGCCCTTGAGTGATAGGTCCCCTGTGTCCATCTAGTGGTTTTTGTTTCAGCATGGCCATCTTATGCAATATTACCAAAATTAACTTAAGTCAAGTCATAAAATCCAACCAATTTTGGGACTCGTCCATGCATCTGCCATGGCCAAATTAGCTCACAGTGTTTATTGAATAATATCTTTCCACTACTACACCCCAAAGAATTGTATCGTAATGAATGTGTACAAGCTGGCCCAATTAAAACTGCACAGATTGCCTTAACCTTGGCACTTCCTAATTTGACGTGTTGGATGTGCAAACTTAATAATATTTTTTTAATGTAGTGCGTGCAACATTTCCAAGGTTGAAGGGAAGCTGGCTCTAGGAGGCACATTTCCGTCTAGTAGAAACCTGATCCCTCCTACCCATTGCTTCCAACCAGCTCTGTCCCAATCTAGTATCATCTCTACCTGTCTCCTTGTCAACCCAATCTCAATCCACTCCTCAAATTTCTCATTTCAGTCTGTCTGTCTAGACAGTTGAAGTCTCCCTCTTCAGGCTCCTAGAAACCATCTTCCTTGGCTTTCCAATCTCTTCCTCTTTTCCATAACTACTTTGAGTTGGTGCTGAGTTGTGTTTAGGTTGACTAGTCTGAGTTAGTCAACCTAAATTAAGGCATTTCCTAACCTTTGAGAACTTGTTCAGCCAGTTCTTGTGTCTGTGGCTAGCAATTCCCAATTCCTTCCTCTGGGCTCCTTATCTGATGTCTTTCTCCTCTCTATGCTGGCTTTCAGTCACAGTTTCTTTCTTCAAGCTCCTCATCCAGTCTGAATCCATCCTCCAGATCTTAGTCCCACTCTCTGCATCCAGGAGGTCCCAGATCTCCCCTCTATTTCAGCTTCTTCTCAGATCTGTTCTCTCTCTCCCATCACCCTGTTCCTTCTACATCCATTCTTGCACTAGGTGCCCTTAACCAGCCAGTTTCAGTCCCCTTTCAATAAGTAGCGCTCTGTCCGATGTTTCCTTCTCTAGCTTCCTCCCTGTCATCTAAGTGTTACTACCAGCTCTCCTACCCGAACAATTCCAACATGCCCTTCCCCTTGGCTCCCCTGTCTAGCCAGTCTTTTTCCCTCCCACCCAGTTCATAGTTGTAGGAAACAGACAGGCATTTGTTCATGTGCTAAAAACTCTTGGCACAGGCAAGATCTTCCTTGTTCAATGGGAGAATGGTAATTCTCCAGTAGAAACCAAACCCCTGTATGTGCCCTTAGTGCCCCTGTGTGCTCCCAGTCTTCCCATTCCAAACTTCCAGCCACGGTTTCTGCCCCTCCCCAGTTACAGTCCAGAGTTGTTCCAATATATTCCTTCATTTCCCCACGGTCCAACATTTGTTTCCTCCGCATTCCAATAAGACTGCTTCCTCCTTCGTACTGTCTGGGTACAAATGTGGGGGACAGGAAGGGATGGTACTTTCAGCACAAGACAAACAGGCTTTCTGCATTTAGTTCTGGTGGCTGGCTCCTCCCTGTCCTGGAACAGCCAGAAGCAGCAATTGTAGGAAAATGAGTTCCAAGGCCCACACTTCCAAGCTAGAATATCCTCCATGGATATATTCTCTGTGGATATAGTCTTGTGGATATAGTCTCTGTGGAATATCCTCTGTGGATTTATTCTATGTGGACAGCACATGTCCAATCAGGTCAACAATCTACTGATAAATTAGGACATGCTCAATGAATATGGACTCTTTAGAGACTGCAGCCCTTTTTCCAAAGACTTACAACTTGGCCAGTTTCAGGTGACTTGCCATGGAGATGGCAACAAAAGGCACTCTACCACATAAAGGACATCACTCTCACCATCAACTTCCAGCTCCCTGTGTCAAAGCTTGGGGACACTAGCACAGTTCAAAAATAAAAGTTATAATATTGTTTTTCGATAAACAACATTTTTTCCTGCTCTTATTCTTGAGGACAGCTGTACCCATTTTGGTTGGCATTTAAATAAACAAATTAATCAGTCTGAGGCAGGTGCCCACCATGAAAAATATCAGCTGAAATAGTTGAAGTCCAACAAAACTATAAGCAGTTTAAACAGATGCTCACAAGAAGCGGTCAGTAACCTTACTAGCAGGCAATGACATCAGCCCTCCCTATAAGATAGCAAAATACATGCTTGGAAGTATCACATGATATTTATTCCACCTCTGACATACGATCATTGGACTTTTATTTTGTCAACTTACAACTGACAATTGTCAGCAACAACACACATCTAGGTAGTATTATTCTCCATGCAAGGAATATAGAGATACTCACAAGAGAGTTACTCAAACTTACCAAATGTAGAATCATCTCCAAGTTCTCTGCCAAACCGCAGCATACAGTCCCCCAGTAGCCCTTCTGTTTGGGGATATCCTGTGGTTTTAACTTGGCCTCTGATTTTTGACATAGTGTTCAACATTCCCAGTTTAGCTCTGTATGCTTAAAGGCAAATGAATGAAAAAGTGTCACTTTACAGGATTTTCTCTAAATAATACATTATTTGAAAGTTTCGGACAAAAATAATTTCAGGAAATAATTGTGTTTTAGAGCAATGTGTTTTGATCACTTCACTGAAAGTTAAAAAAAAAAAAAAAAATCAAGATGTGAAAGATGTTTTCATTGGATATATGGATCACCCGACTGTGTCAGTTATCTAATTGGATGAAGAATAACATGACTCTTACATGCAGGTCTCTATTTTGAAAAGTTGTCATCTTTTCTTGATGATCCTATTTCACCTCTGTGATGCTTAAGTGGATTCAGGTGTCCAAAAATTTGAGTCAAACCATGAATATAGTGTCTTTTGTAACACTCTGAAGGCACTTAATACCTTATAACAAAAGTACCTTAAGCGGGAAGGAAGAGGAGGACCCAACCACCTTTTGCATCAATGGTTTTTTGGAGATTTGAGCAGGGAGTTCAGGACTGTCCAATCCACTTAGACACTTTGTACACAGAATAGGATCTGATCCCAAATGTATATGAAAGCAGCCACAGTCATTTCATGTTTTCATTTAAGTGAAAGGTTGCAGAACTCCTCCCCCTTCAAATGCTTGGCTCCGCTAGAACATCAGCTAGAATGGCTTGATGTTCATAGATGCATAGATTCTAGGGTCAGAAGGAACCTCAGTGGGCCATCTAGTCCAACCCCCTGCCCCTGGCAGGCAAGAAAGGGGTCACCAAACCTGGGGTCATGTGAACCCAGCCATGTGCCTGTCCAGTCTCCTCTTGAAGACCCCCAAGGATGGGGCGAGCACCACCTCCCTTGGAAGCCCATTCCAGATCCTGGCAACCCTGACCATGAAGAACTTTTTTCCTAATGTCCAATCTAAACCTTCTCTCCAGTAGCTTATGGCCATTGTTCCTTGTCATTCCAGGGGGTGCCCTGGTAAACAGATCGTTGCCTACTTCATGTTGCTTTCCCCTTATGAATTTGTACGCTGCCACAAGGTCCCCCCTCAGCCTCCTCTTGGAGAGGCTGAAAAAGTTAAGGTCCCTTAGCCTTTCCTTGTCGGGCCTTCCCTGCAGGCCTCTAATCAGACAAGTGACTTGTCTTTGCTCTCCAGGTTGTCCACATCCCACTTGAACAGCAGTGTCCAGAACAGGACTCAGTACTCCAGCTGCAGCCTGATCAGTGCCGCATAGAGAGGGAGAATCACCTCCCTGGACCTGTTTGTGAAGCACCTACGGATGCACGACAAGGCGCAATTGGCTCTGCCGACTACTTCATCACATAGATGACTCATGTTCATCCTGGAGTCAACAGTGACTCCAAGATCTCTTTCTGCCTCAGTGGTGCTAAGAAGGTCGCCCCCCAGCCTATAGGTATGATAGCAGTTCTTTCTCCCCACATGCAGCACTTGGCACTTGTCCTTAATGAATTGCATCCTGTTGCTCTCTGCCCACTTCCCCAACCTATCTAGGTCAGCCTGGATCTGGTTCCTCTTCTCCAGGGTGTTAGCTTCACCCCATATTTTTCTGTCATCTGCGAATTTGGACAAGGTGCTTCCCACCCCCTCATCCAGATCACTGATAAAGATGTTGAACAGCATCAGCCCCAGCACTGAGCCCTGAGGGACTCCACTGCCCACATCTTTCCAGGTTGACACTGATCCATCCACCACCAGTCTCTGAGTAAATCCTTGAGCCAGTTTGCTACCCAGTCTACCGTATAATCATCCAAGGCAAATCTCCTCAGTTTATTTATAAAGATGGTATGGGATACCGTGTCAAAGGCCTTCTCAAAGTCCAGCTAGATAACATCCACCTCAACTCCTGGTGGACTCAATTCCTGGACATGTACTAGAGGCACAGATTTTTGGGGGGGCGATAACTTTTACTGGACTAACTGCATAGCTGGGAGAGATTTTTAGACAAGCTATGCCAGCGCGTGAAATGGAGGGGGAGGAGGGGGCACTTACTTGTCCCCTCCTTCAGTGGGGGAGAAGGACCCCCCCCACCCCCCAAGAGCGGTGCAGCACCAGCAGGCACTTCTGCACATGCATTCAGTTTAAAAAGGGCCCAGCAACAACGGAAGCTGCACTTCAGTCCCGGCTCTGGCGCTAGACACATGGGTACAAGCCCATTGCACCCCTGTGAGCCCAGGGACCCCCCAAAAGACCCCAGGACCCCTGACGAGCCCCAGCCTGCCCGCAGGTAAGCAGGGGCCTGTGGTGGGAGGGACATAGCCCAGCTGCAGCAAGGCAGCTGAGTGGAGCCAAGGAGGGTCACAATCACACTCCCCCCCACCCGGCTTCTACTTAGTCCAGCCCCACAGGGAGCCACGTCATCGGGCTGCTGGGGGGCAGAATTACCTGCCCCTCCTTCAGTGGGGGAGGGAGGGACCCCCCTTAACCCCCCAAGAGCGGCATGGCACCAGCGGGCCCTTCTGCACACACGCACAATTTAAAAAGTCCTGGCAATGGCAGAAGCCACACTCAGGTCCCGGCTCCAGTGAGACACATGGGTGTAAGCCCGTTGCACCCCTGTGAGGCCAGGGACCCCCCCAAGAGACCCCAGGACCCCCAAGCCCTGGCCTGCCCATAGCTAAGCAGGGGCCCATGGTGGGAGGGACGGAGCTCAGCTGCAGGGAGGCAGCTGAGTGGAGCTGAGGAGGATCATGCACCCCTCCTTGACTCCTACTTCACCCAGCCCCCCGGGGAGCCGCACGCCCAGAGCCTCATGAACAGGATGTGCAAACAGGTGCACTTCTGGGCCCGGTGTGCAAGTTTAGTGCAGGAGTTTGCACAGGAGGGTGAGCGGGAGGTCCTGAGGCCCTGCCAGTGAGCCCCCAGGGAAGGCAATCCCATCAGTAGCCAGACTCCCAGTGGCACAATGCGGATGGGCACACGCTGCACCCCGGGGTCCCCCTGGAGTCTGCGGCCTCCCCCTCTGGCACCTCAGAGGCGTCCACCCAGACAGAGCCCGTGGTTCCAGGCTCCACGCAGATGGAGACCCTGGCTCTCGGCTGCAAGGGCTGCCTGGCACATTTCCAGGATCATGGGACTGGGAGCATGGCCAACTCCCCTTGCAAGGTTTGCTCTACCTTGGAGTCTCTGGGGCACCAGATAGAGGAACTCCAGGTCGCAGTCCAGAGACTGTGTGCCATCAGGGATGGCATCAGGGATGGCGAGCAGGAGATAGACTCCTACTGCCAGGCCCTTCACCCCCTGAAGGGTAAACCAAGGTCACCTTCCACGACAAGGGAGGACTCAGGGATCTCCCATACTGTCCAGCCAGGGGGTTGGACCAAGGTGGTCAAGGGCCCCAAGGCCCACCGCACCAAGGTCCCCTACCCTCTGGGGCTTTGCAACAGGTACGAACATCTTGCAGCCCCAAGCGAGTCTGCAGAGATGCCAGCTCCTGAAGACAAGGGAGGATCACCCACCCCTACTCTCCCCAAGACGAAACGTGGAGTGGTCGTCATAGGAGTCTCCCTCCTGAGGGGGACTGAGGGGGCAATCTGCTGCCCCAACCCCCTATCCAGGGAGGTGTGCTACTTCCCGGGGTCCCACATCTAGGACAGAGTGGAGAGGAGCCCAAAGATTATCCAGCCCTCTGACCACTACCGTATGCTCCTTATGCATGTGGGCACGGATGATATGGCTCGGAACAATCCCAGCCAGGTCATGAGGGACTACAGGGCTCTGGGAGTGGGGCGTGCAGGTGGTCTTTCCCTAGCTCCTCCCGGTTGTGGGTCATGGGCTGAGGAGGCAGAGTCGGGTTGAGTTAGTCAACCAAAGACTGCGGCACCGATGTCATCGTGAAGGCTTCGGCTTCCACAATCACAGTCCACTCTTTGGTGAGAGAGACAGCGAGCTGCTGGGAAGAGACGGCCTCCACCTTACTGTGCTGCGGAAGAGGCTTTTCTCAGCCAGACTTGCTGACCTGCTCAACTGGGCTTTAAAACTGAGCCCACCGGGGGATGGGGGGACTACCGCCACTGCAAGCCCATTGGGCAGCTTTTGCAAAACCAGCAGGCTAAGGCACTCAAAGGAACCCACCCCTACCCCAGCCCCAGAGTCATCCGTAGGGAAGGCAAGGCCAGGAGCTTGGGGACCAAACAGGAGGAACAAGGATTACGATCTCATAGGGATAACAGAGACCCGGTAGGACTCCACCTATGACTGGGCCACAGGTATAGATGGCTATACCTTGTACAGGAAAGATCATGTGGCAAAAAGAGCAGGGTGGGTTAACTCTCTATGACAAGGAAAGCTACGCATCTCTGCAAGCTGACATTGGCACCCAGGGGGGACGATGTGAGACTCTCTGGGTTAAAATCTATGGCAAACAAGGCACAGGGGACACAATGGTGGGAGTCTGCTACAAACCTCCTAGCCAGGATCAAGAGTTTGACCAGGAATTTGCCAGAGAACTGGCTGAGGCTGCACGCTCCCAGTCCATGGTTGTCATGGGCGATTTCAGCTACCCTGACATCTTGTGGGAAGAGCACTCAGCCACATCCAAATGGTCGCAAAGCTTCCTCATGTGTGTGGATGAGCTCTGTCTGACTCAAGAAGACTACGGACCAATGACAGGCAAAGTGCTGCATGACTTAATCAGTGACCTAATGATCAAGGGAAGCTGGGAGACAGCAACCATGAGCTGATCAATCACCTTTACCATCCATTGTAAAGCTGGCAAGTCAGACAGCAAAGCAGAACTCCTCGACTTCAGGAGAGCTGACTTTGACAAGCTCAGGAGGCTTGTTGGTGAGGCACTAAGGGACCTCAATCCAAAGGGGAGGGGAGTTCAGGAAGAGTGCCTGCTCCTCAAGGAAGCGATCCTGGAAGCTCAAGCAATGCCTATCCCATCTCAGAACAGGCAGTGTGGGTTAGTTGGAGGTAGGTCTTGCCTGACCATTCTCATCTCATCCCAGACATCTGCTGGGAAGAGCAGTCAGCTAGGTCCGAGCGCTCACGTAGGTTCTTGGAGAG